TACTTTCCCGTGATCTCACTGACAGCAGGGGATTGGTAGGGATCCGGGGGGGGTGGGGGTGGTGGGCATGGCCTCTTACCTGGCTCCTCGGGTGCTGCAGCCTTCGCCCCGGCTGTGCTTGGCTTTTCTGCAGCCGGGAAAGCCTGCCTGGATCAGGTTCACCCTTGCTGGGCTCCAGGTTGGCTGCTTCCCATGCCAAACCCCAAATGCCTGGGAGCCCAATTTGGGGTGGTCCTTGGGCTGCTCTGCACTGCCCTGTACCTCCCTTCCCCGGCACCCACAGTGCGGGCAGACGATGGGGACCTTGCTCACGCAGAGGGAGACAAGACCTGGGAGGGGACGGGGTGTTTTGGAAGCCATTTAAAACCCAGGGGGGTGGTTTGGGTGGAGGGAAGGTACAAGCTGACCCACAGGAGGAGGCCAAGGGGTTTCTCCCGAAGAAGGCTGAGCAGTGGGAGCGTGCTGTAAGGACAGCTGTCTGTACCCCCCGAGGCCGGTGATGTGGCGTGGGGTGACGGGGAGGACAACCTGCACCGCTTTGTTCCCGTTTCATGGCAGCCCTGAATTTGCCGCAGGTGTACCTGGTCCTTTGTGACCATTTGCAGCCCCTGCTGAAGCCACAGGCTTTGCATGCCACCGAGCCGGGTGCCGTGTTGCCCAGGCGCTGGAGGAAGCGCTGGTTTAGTTTGCTGCGATATTTCTGTCTGTGGTGGTTTTTAGGAAATGGATTTTTTTAAAATTTTGAATGTTACGATCCAGCTTTAAGCAAAAGCTCTATCTCGAGAGCCTCAGATACCAGCGGTCTGCCTGTGCCAGCCTCCTCTCGGCTCTCCCCACGCCTGCTTGGGAAGGGATGGTTGCCAGCGGCTGGTGAAGGACGGATCTGGCAGGGAGCTGTGCCGCTCCCGTGGGAATCTTTATCGGGTCTGGTTTTGTCCTGTTGGCAAAACTCAGCTCACGGGTGCTGGGTGTTGCATGCAACCCCACGGCCCAGGAAAAGCCGATCCTGCGACACAGGCTTGGCACAGCCGGGCTGCCGGCGTTGTGCAGCTGCCGCTCAGCTCCTCGGGCATTCACAAACGCGCCGGGTCGGACCCTGCCGCCCACCGGTGACGGGAAAGGCTCGCATGCCGATGCCGTGAATAACGTGCGGGCTGGCCCGTGTGCGCACGGGCCGCTGGCCAAGGACAAGGGCACTTTGTGAAACACCCGGGTGACCGATGCTGGAGCATCCCCTCCGCGGGGGGGTCCCCGCCGGGGTACCTGCCTCCTCGGGCAGCTCCAGCTCTGGGCACATCGTCTGCGGTCCCTACGATGGAGGCTGGTTGTGCAAAGCTCTTCTGCATCTTGGGGAGCCCGTCCTGGATTGCCTCTCCGTGCCTCAGTTTCCCCATCCGGTTCCCATGTTCTTGCCTGGGTAACAGGCTGCGGGTGATGAGCTGTGGGCTCGTTAGCATCTCGAGGAACAGAGCATCGGCGTATTTTTCTAACGGACCTGGAAGGAAAACAGAGATAAAAGCCCCTGGATCTCCCCGTTTCCGGTGTTTGTTTGAGGCGTCAGAGCATCTTCCCTTCTCCTCGGGAAAAACGTCACGTCCAAAAGCCACGTGCCACCTCCGAAAGCTTAAATACCTGCTGCCAAGTCACCCAGAGAGCAGTAAGGTGGTAATAAAGTCCAGGCTTTTTTTTTTTGTGATTTAGTTTTTTTTCCCATTTGCCTCCAGGTTTAGAGGCCGCAATATTATTCCTTGGCTTTTCTTTCCGAGATCAGCATGTTCTTTTAGTGGGAGGATACAATGTGATGCCCAGGGCTGAGCCTCCCTCCGTGCCGGTGGTGAGGGAGCCTGGTCCAGACTGCATAGCGTCGGCGGTGTCCCTGCCACCTCTTTTTACATCTTCTGGCTGATTTTGGAGCCAAACCAGGAGTTTTTCTATGCGTTATTGTTCTTGGAGGAACTCAGCCCCCAGGCTCTGGCTGGGGCAGCGGGTAAAGCCATCCTGCCAAAGGGGGTCTCTGCTTGGTCACCATGATAGTGCGGGGCTTTGAAGATGGGTGACACTGGGGAGATGCCCCGGTGGCAGCGGGGATGCACGGCATCGCCACGGGTACCCAGGGGCGGCGATGCCGCGTGTCCCCACTGCCACCCAGGGATGGGAAGATGACGGAGCAGGATCCAGCCCCGGCGTGGGCTCGGTGCATCCGCCTCCCTCCGACACTGCTTATCGCCGGCATGGATGGGAACCTTGTTCACCCGCTGCAAAACCATTTTTGGGGGATTTTCTCTTGCTATTGTTTGGCTCAGGAAACTGCAATCGGCGTCGGGGCGAGCGGGACCATATAGGGCTTGGAGGGGAAATACCAGCTCCCCCACCCACATCCCCACAGGGATTTCTGGTCCCGGTTGAGTAACGGCTGAAAGGGGCTGATCCTGTCCTCCGACCGCCCCAATAGAATCCCAACGGAGCCAGCGCAGTGGGATGGGTTGAAGCCTTGTTGGGATTCAGCATTCCCCACCCGGAGGGGATGCTTTCCCGGCAAACTGGCTCTGTGCCATCACGCCATGGTTGGCATTCGTGTGCCGCTCCGTTGCTTTTAAGCGATCCAGGTGTTTCCCATTGCCACCGGCATTTTGCCACCCCGGATCCGTGCTTTTTGGATACACGTGTGTGATTCCCAAGTGTGCGGCAAGGCACCGGGATGCCAGCCCCATCCGCATCCAGCTACTGCTGCCAAGTCATGCCTGTGCCATACCCTCCCAACCCACATTGGGGAACCTCGTTAGCGCTACACTCAATTATGCCCATGGCAGCAGGTTAATTAACTACCCGAAGCCCCTGTCTTCCAGTGATAAACTGCTGCAAGAAGCAGACGGGGAGGGACGGTGAGCGGGCTGTGCCAGTGCAGGATGTGCCCTGGACCCGTGCCGGCCGGAGAAACCGCCAGGAGAAACCCGTGCTGGTGGGAGAAACCTGCTAACAGGGACGCCAAGTTTTCAAGCAAGTGGTTTTCCCCCCAGCCTTCCCACCTGACGACTGCTGGGTGCCTGGGAGAGCTCATGAGCCTTTGCAGGTTATGCTGGTGGGTGCCCTGGCACCTGCTTGTGGCACACGAAACAGAATTTGGCCACTCAGTGCATTTCAAGGAGGGTGCTTTGAGAGCGGCACAGGAGTGGGATGCAGCAGTGGCAAACCAGATGCCGGCTTGGCTTTGGGCATTGGCAAAGTGTTTGGCTCTGCTGGCCGGTCTGGCGGCTCCTGCCGATGCTGTCCCACCCTGGGGTGGCTCTCGCTGGTTGCTGGACCCTGGCAGGATGGGTCCCACCAGCCTCGACCCGTTGCTGGGCTGACAGCAGTGTGAGGAGGAGGTGAAGCTCGGTGCACCCCAGCAGCACCGGAGATGCAGTTCACGGTGTGGGGAAGGCGGAAAGTGCGATGGGAAGGGCTGCGGGTGCGAAGGCTGTGGCTGAGTGGGGCACGTGGGTGTGGCAGCACCCTAGGGTGCTTGGTGCTGGCCTGGGTGCAGGTTACAGGAGCCCTGACCACATATAAAGACAAAGAAAAGGGTGGTGAAGCAGAGTGCAGGATGAAGGGATGGGGAAAGGGGATGCGGAGGACGTTGCCCGGCTGGTCACAAGGGGGAGAAGGGGTTTTGGCAGCCATAGTTGCTGTATCGGCATCGCCGGCGCGAGCCCGGGAGAGCCCATTTCTGCCGGGCTGAAATAACGGAGTGGTTTGCAACATTCCTGGCTCCTCGGCTAATCTGCAGGAGCTGAAAGCACCTGAGAAAATAGTTTTAGGGCTGACGAATTAGGAAACCACTGTTTCCTTCTGTTTCTATCACTCACGATAAGAAGCCAAGGCCCAAACCAAGATGTGAAGCAGTGAGCGGAAGAGGGGACCCCTCCCGCGCTGAATCGTTGGTGGTTGACGCCTGTGCCGGGGCAGTGGGGCACCCTCCCTGTGCTGAGAGCCCGGCGACCCGGCTACTGGCCTCCCCATCCTTCCAGCCCACAGCCGGGCGGGATGCCCGGTGCTCGTGGCTCCTCCTGGTGGCAGAGGCACTGGGGAGCTGGCCGTGACACCGGACGGTGTCCCACTGGCACAGCCTTTGCTCTCCATCCCCTGACCCCATGATATGGGTGGTACCTAAATACTCACGTGGCCCCTTTCCTTTGTACCCTTCCAGGCTCTGCTTTCTCCTCGGAGGCCAAGCCAAAGCAGAGAGCTGCCCGGGATGAAGGTCCTCCTCCTGCTCCTTCTCTCCCCCCTCCAAGGTAGGCTGTCCTCAGCCACGTCCTGCCCCGGGCCGGTGGGCCAGGTTTGGGCTGCTGGACATAATTGGCAGCCCCAAAACATTGGCTGGGAGGCACCAAGGGGTGTTTGCAGCTGTGGCTTCCACAGAGGTGAAACATCTCATGGGCTGCCTCTGGTGGGGTGTCCGGGGCAGGATGGGTCTTTTCCAGAGTAAGGAGATGGTCTCCATCCATCCCTTTTGGAGATGGAGAGCTCCTCTGTCCGTCTCTGCCGACGCAGGTGGTGACACCTGGGAGAGGGTGGCACCAAGATGTGGGAAGTCCTGCTGCCCCAGGAGCCTTGGCTCCCCGGCAAACCCTCCCAGCATGGCCATGGGGATGTCAGGGAGGTGGCCGACATCACGCAGCCCATCCAGGACGGGGTCGGGATGTCTGGGGCAGAGAGCCCAGTGTGCCACGCACGGCGGCTGCCATGGGGGTGGGGAGTTTGCCAGGGGTGGCCGCCCCTCCGGCTGAACCGGCATCTCCGTCTGCTTGTGCAACGCAGGTGTGGGAGCCAGCAGCCACCGGGAAGAGGACTTCTGCTTCTGCGGTGACCGAAACCAGACCCAGAACAGTTCCGTCATCTATGAGCATGGCCCTGCCACCATCACCATCGAGAACACGGCCCAGGCGCTGATAATAAAAAGGCCCTTTTTGCCAAACAGAAGAAACTCTTACTACAAGTACAGCTTGCCCCCGGCTTTGGGCAGGTACCGCTTCTGCCTCTACTGGTTCAAGGCCAACAGGACCCTGAGGCTGGTGTATGGGAAGCAGAGCTTCCTCCTGGGTGGGGACCTGTCCAGCAGCATCACCCGGGGGAAGGAGAGTCAGAAGACTGAACGAACCAGCACCTCCATCTTCAATGTGTCCTGCATCTCAAAGGGTGGGAAGAACACCTCCCTTGACAGTGCATCTGAATACTTCTTCCCCGGTAAAGGCAATTCAACGTTATTTTAATGAAATAAAGCGTTCGTTTCATCCCCAGCCCGTTCCCTAGCCATCGGCAGAGCATTGGTGGTGTCCCAGTATGTGCTACAGCGTGATGATGTGAAGACACAGCTGAAGGGTGATGGAAGGGGACATAGGTTTGCTTGAAGAAGCCCAGAGGCAGACCCCGGTACCCAGGCTCCCAAAAGATGAAGATGGAGATTTTCAAGTGTTTTGCCCCTAAAATCCTGGGAAATCATGGCCTTTGCAGAGGTCTCCGAGGGTCCCGTCTGCACTGCTAGGCACCTAGCTAGCCTCAGCCAGCCTGGTCCCGATGGCCTTGGTGGGAGCCGAGCTCCTGGCAGCAGGAGAAGCCCTCTGGGTTGGGGTCTCCATCAGCTCCCTGAGCTTGGGGTCACCTTGAAGCCCTCTGCTTTCTGCTCCCACCAGGACTGTGCCCGGTTGGTTCGGGGCACGGGGAAGCCTGCTCTGTCCATGCATCTCACGACGTTTCCTTTTGTGTGCCCGTCAGCCTCTCCAGAGAGCATGCCCGTCTGGGAGCAAGATGTGGAGGAGCAGCTCACTGCCTTGGACAGCCTCATCGCCCAGCCCCCGGCGCCGGCCGCGGGAACCACAGAGCAGCAGATGCTTCGGCGGTGAGTTCCTGGCTTATGCTGTTCCCACTGCTGTCGGTGCGGTGCCTGCTGCATCCTGCTTACTGCACCCCTTCCCCGACAGCAAACTCGGGGAGCTGGAGAAGACGCTGGCCAAGGTGGAGCTTGAAGGGCAGAACCAGACCTTTGGGAAGGCCACCGTGCACGCAACCGTCCTGAGGGTCCAGCCCACCTGGGCTCCTCAGCACCTGGCCTTTGCTTCCCAAAGAGAGGTGGGTCCTGGGCAGCCTGCCCTGGTGGTCTTGGTCCGACAGCACCTCTCCCAACCTCTCTCCTGACAAGTCTCTCCTTGCAGGAGGGTGGAGAGGTCCATGGGTTCGCAGTGGACCTGCCAAGCAGCCTGTTCGTGACAGCAAAGGAGAGGGAGGAGGTGGTGGAGCACAGGGTGCTCCTCATGGACATCAATAGCCAGACCATGTTCCAGGTAACGCCCACACACGTGGCATGGTGGGGTGTCCCCACCGTGCCGGGGGCTCCGGTGATACAGGGCAGCAGGGATGCCACCCAGACCAGGGTGCTGGTGCTCGCTTGGAGAAGATGCTTCAGAGATGAGCTAGAAGCTTGACGGGGAAAGAGGCATGGGACCTCTTTCTTGGGGACTCTCACCTGCTTCATGCCCAGCAGCAATCCTTCCCATGCTGCCATCACCTCCTCTTCTCCCACAGGATGAAAACAGCAGCCATGTCCTGGGTGACAAGGTGATCGGCATCTCCCTGGTGGACACAGTGGTGGCCAACCTCTCCGATCCAGTGGTCCTCACTTTCTTCCATGACCAGCTGCCGGTAGGTGGGGAAACAGCCTCATCGAACCTGGTCCCACCAGGAATGGAGGGGCAAGGAGGGCTCAGGCCCTGCCAGCTTAGAAAGTGGTCACAATCCAGCAGGTCTGTGCCCTTGGCCTGCCTGTACAGGGTCTGCTACGTCTTCTGGGGCTGTATCGTGATCACGGCTTCACTGTGTGCACTGGTGGTGGCGCTGCCTGCTCCTGTCCAGGAGATGCTGCTTTGCAGATATGTCGCCTCCAGCAGAGTCTCCAGGGCTGGGGGACACTTTGAGTTAACAATCCCTTGGCTCATTCATGACCCTATCAGGCGCCTGCTCAAAGCTGAACCCCTTGTTTGAGAAAGGGGACCTGGGAGGAAGCGTCTGCTCCACAAGCTGCCAAGAGAATGGTCTCCACCTGGAGCCTGCTCCCATGATACGGGATGGTTTGTCTCCTGAGACCGTCTCGCCTCCTGCCCCATGTTCTTCCCTATCAAATGTGCTGTCCGGGCGACAAATCCACAGCTCCATCCTGATCAGGGCCCATGGTTTTGTCATTGCAGAGGAATGTGACCCCGCTGTGCGTCTTCTGGCAGGAGGACACCACCGGTGAGTGCTCCTGCACTTGGGTGTGAAGCCAGGCGCTGCCTTTGCTCCTTTTGCAGGGTACCACAGACCTGCTGGTAGGAGTAAAAGTCGCTCCACACCTCCCTTCCTCGCTCCAGCTCTGTAAACCTTTCCCATGGGGTTGATTTCAGGTTTTCCCCTCCATATCTAATTTAAGAGCTTTCTCCCTCCCCTAGGGATGGGTCCTGGTGCTGAGGGTGCTGTCTGAGTGTGTATGCTTGGCATGGGACAAACTGGGACCCCCACTTTTGTCCTCCCCCCTGCCATGGACACCTTGCCCTGAAGATCCACAAACCCGAAGCAGATGTTCCTGCTGCTCACCAGACACTCTCCCTTTCTCTTGCGCAGCCAGCTCTGGGAGCTGGGACAGCTATGGTTGTGCAACAGCAACGGGGGACAGCCAGACGGACTGCAGATGCAACCACCTCACCTACTTTGCCGTGCTGATGGTGGGTAGCGCCTTCCCGCAGCTCTCTACATCATTCCCACCGGCTCTTTTTCCTCACCATCTCTCGTTCCTCCTTCTCCTCAGGTATCCTCCCCAGAGATCGCCTACATACACAGGGATTACCTGAGTATCATAACCTACATCGGCTGCCTGATCTCAGCTTTGGCATCCATTTGCACCATCTTCTTCCTCTACTTCAGGTATGGTCTGACAGATCACCCCACGCTCCCCGCCTGTGTCCTGTCCATTGCCACTACACCTGGGTGGGAGCAAGCTCTCCAAACACAGTTGGTGTCCTGGCTAGAAGCATGATGAAGGAGCCATGCTTGAAGAAAGCAGAGTTCTGCTCTCCAGAAACCACACCCTTGGTCAGGTCTCCCGCAGGGTGCTTGAAAACACCAGCTGTTTTCAATGATTTTGGAAAATCAGCTTGGTTGTTGTTATGGATCCGGCAAGCAGAAGCCTGCAAAGACCTTTTCAAGGGCCCGGTGGAGAACATGAGTGTCTTCTCCTGAGTCATGTCGCTGGATGATTCAGAGCTGAAATGATGTCACTCTCTACCCCCCATGGCCTAGACCTGAAATGCAGGGTCAGCTGCAGGGACCTGAATTTGCACATGTAACGGGTGGTCCTACCCGTGGGGTTAGGCTCTCAGCCAGAGGGTCTCCTGGCTCTTCTGGCGAGGGTGAGTTGCCCCACGTGGAGCTGTGGGGTGTTGTAGGACACCAAGCATGCTGGCCAGGCACGGTGGTGAGGTGTCCCCCCTCCTCGCTTCTCCAGAAGCAAGCAGCGAGACCAGATCACAAGCATGCACATCCACATGAACCTGCTGGGTGCCATCTTCCTCCTGGACGTCACCTTCCTCATTTCTGAGCACTTGGCTTCCAGCAGCAGCGAGGCAGTCTGCAGAGCTGGGGGGCTGTTTCTGCACTTCTCCCTCCTGAGCTGCCTCACCTGGATGGGCATTGAGGGCTACAACCTCTACCGGCTTGTGATCGAAGTCTTCAACGCCTACCATGACCACTTCCTCCTCAAGCTCTGCCTGGTGGGCTGGGGTGAGCATGGGGGAGGCAGAGATGCCCTGAGGGCATGGGCAATGGGGGTGGAGGGGCACCCCGCTAGGTCTTTCCCACCATCTGTGGTGCCTGGATGGGGATGGAGACGTAGCTGTGGGGGAGCAGATGTCTGAGAGCAGAGGGGTCTCTCTGTTGAGAGACTCGGTGGAGGAGGAGACTTGGTGGCTGAGAGCAGAAGCTGGTGCTAGAGCAAGGGTGGGTCACCCAGCAAGGGAGGCATGTGAGAGCCACTGCTTGGGGTCTTTAAATAGTAATGGGATCCTCTCTTTCTGAAAGAAACATCCAGGGCAGCCCAGAGACATGGGTTTGATGCAGGAAGCACCCACGCATCTCTGCCATGCTTTGGGCAGGAAGCCGCGGTAGGAAGATCTCATGATCTTTTATGGCCTAAAATTCCGCGGCCCTGGGAGACCCCCAGCTGGGGTCGATGCAGCACAGCTCGCTCCCGGGCCGGGGCTTACGCCAGGTGTCCTTGTTGCATGCTCCATCCTCAGTTCCCCCTTGGGAGGGAGGACATTGGTTTGTAGTCTATACGGGCAGAAAGGGGCAACAGATCCTTCCAGGAGGACTGAGGGCTGGGGACTAGGGCAGCCGCCTCACTCTGTTCTTGCCACCCAGGACTCCCTTTCTTCTGCGTGATGCTGATCTTCATGGCTAGCTGGACAAACTACGGCCCCTTCTCCATTCCCGTCTATGAATCCGTTGGTGGCAAATCCACCAACGCAACCATGTAAGTCATGGGAAGTGTGTTGCCTGGTCCCTGGTCTTAGATAAAGCCAACTGGCTAAACCTTCATCGTGTCCTACAGGCTTTCCTTAGCCCACCTGTGGGTTTTCTGGGGCTTTGTGCAGGGTGGTGGTGGGGGATTCCCCCTCCCTGTTTAACTAAGCTGGGCGCTGGGTTTGCACCACACCTTCGTGCTTCCCCCAACCCCTCCAATTCATGTCCCTGTGGGATGACACAGCATAACCCTCTGCCCTTTCTCCTCTCTCCAGATGCTGGATCACGAGCCCCCTGATCCATAATGTCGTGAACCTGGGTTTGTTCAGCCTGGTGTTCCTCTTTAACTCGGTCATGCTGGGGGCCATGATCCGGGAGATCCTCCGGCAGAACAAGAAAGGCCACAAGCTCAAGCACGTCCTAGCCCTCTTTGGGCTGAGCATCCTGCTGGGCATCCCCTGGGTGCTGGTCTTCTTCTCCTTCACCTCCGGCGTCTTCCGCCTCGTCTCCCTCTACATGTTCACCATCATCAACTCCCTCCAAGGTGAGCCTGGGATGCCGGGCTCCTCCAAAGGGCACTGGGGCTTTCATGGGGTATTGATGGGGTAGTGATGGGGTACGAGCTGTCCCCAAGCTGGCTGGCTTGCTCTCGACTGCTGTTGGTCCTTAGAGGTGGTTCACCCACCCTTCCTTCCCTTTGGGTGTTGGTCTCTTCTCCCAAGTAACAAGCGAGAGGACGAGAGGAAACGGCCTCAAGTTGCGCCAGGGGAGGTTTAGATTGGATATTAGGAAAAATTTCTTCACTGAAAGGCTTGTCCAGCATTGGAACAGGCTGCCCAGGGAAGTGGTTGAGTCACCATCCCTGGGGGTCTTTAGAAGACATGTAGACGTGGCACTAAGGGACATGGCTTAGTGGTGGACTTGGCAGTGCTAGGTTAATGGCTGGACTTGATGATCTTAAAGGTCTTTTCCAACCTAAATGATTCTATGATTCCTCCCTCCTGTCCCAGGTTTCCTCATCTTCCTCTGGTACTGGACCATGGTGCTGCAGGCGAGAAAGTCCCCTGACTCGCAGAGCAGCTCCGACAGTGTCAAACTGCAGCCCAACAGCAGCCAGAGCCACCTTGGCTGAGCCCCGCAATGGCCCCACCGTGCCGTGCTGGGGCTCCCCATGTGGAGGACAGCCGCAGGAAGGACTGACGCCGTCCGCTTTGCTACTGCACCCACCTCGTAGGGCTGCTAGGAGCCCAGGGACCTGCAGCGGGGCCGGCCGCCCCGAGCCCCTCGCCTCTGCCGGCCCCCTCCCCAATTTTCCCATCCACCGCATCCTGCTGGGCAGCGGCGCATCCCTCGGCTTGGCATCCTTGAGGCAGGAGGGAGGGATGCTCGCCCAGGCAGCAGGGGCTGTAGAAAGTGGAAGGGGCAGGGACAGGGTCCCCAGTGCCTCCGGACATCCCCTCTCGTGCCCCGAGGCCAGGGATGATGGGTGGGAAAGGCCCCGTCTTCAGCCCTTGCTGGTGGTCACCGAGAGGGTCCTTCCCCAGTGAAGACAGAATAACTCTGCCCCCGCAACACCCTCCAGCAGCTGAAATAATCTATTTTTGTTATTTTGTTGAATGTCTATTTTTGGATGGTGTAGAAGTTTAATGAGCGCGCCCGCACACCAGACTTGTGCCCATTAAAGTTGTTCCTGCTCAGAGTGTGGCTCGCCGAGGACTCTCTGCTGGGTGCGTTCGTGGGCTTTCCAATGGGATCCATCCGTCGGCCGGGGTTGTCCCATCCCTGGGGCGGGACCCGGCGTTTCACCCTGTAGGATCCTGCTGAGCTGGGACCAGTAAGTGCGCTCCCGGCAGGGCACTGGCAGCCCGGTGCCGTAGGGGTCGGGGTGATGGAGGGGGATGCTGTGGCTCAGGAAGCTGCTGCAGTCTCTGGAGACCATCACTACCCAGTGGAGAGGGAGGCCAGGGGAGGCCAGGAATCCGAAGAGGGAGGTTTCGCAGGGTGGGAATCGCCTCCCTCGGTGGCTGCGGGGCCACGCAGAGCACCGCTTTCCTGGCTGTGCCGCTTGTAAGCGCAGCACCACGTCTCCCAACCCACCAGTTCCCCTTCCGGACGATGCTCCGCTTGCAGCTCATCCCCTTCCACCCAGCTCCAGCTCCCGTCTGGGACAGGGGGACCTTCCCGGGAAGGGGATGTTTCATCCCTGGCAGCTCGCGTCGATGCCTGGCGGCGTACCCAGTTTGGGAGAGGGATGCCCTGACACATCGCTGGGCTGGTGGGGATCATCGGCCAAGGACTTGGCAGGACGCGAGGGAGAAGGGGAAGGAAAAAAAGCACCGAGTCAGTTGGGGGAAGCGGCCAAGGGGGAAACAACACGGCTCTGACGGTTATTGCTGTTGCTGTGAGCTGGGGCAGGTCACTTGCCAACCGAGGGGTTCGCAGAAGGGAAATGAGGACACAGCCGTTGCCTGAGGAGCAGCCACAAGCCCCGGGGGAGCCCGGGGAGGAGCAGAGCTGCTGGGACAAGGGGAGCAGAGCATCGTGGGATAGCCGGGGGCAGCCAGGAGACCCCACAAAGCAGCATGAACCTGCTCCTGGGCATTGTCCTGCTGCTCCTGGTGCTGCCCGGTGAGTGGCGGGTGAGCGGGACGTGGGCACCCCTGGCTCAGGGTATACGTGGACTTGGGGGTACATTTTCCCATGGGAAAGTGTTGACCCAAAGACTGTGGCAGGGTTTCACCCCAAAATGTGGCCGGGCCAGAAGGGAGTGTCCCCCCTGGGCTGTGCAGAGAGCTGGCAGAGGCGAGTGGAGCGGGGGGGGGGTTTGCTGCTGGGGGCTGTTTTAAAACCTGGGACCAGCGGCCCAGGGTCTCTTCTGCGAGCCACCCTGGGTGGTGTCAACGCAGGCATGGTGGCTTTGCCTTCACCAGCCCTGACAGCTGTCCAGCTGCTTTTTGAAGCCCATGTAATTGTAGGGCTGCTCCTTTTGAACCTGGCAGCTGCCACGTTCTCCTGCCTCCCCCTTCCCCTGTGGGTGGGGGGAGGACTGACCCTAGATTTTGGGGTTTTTCCCCCATTTCCCTATGCGCTCTTCTTCCAGACGCTGCTGGGGGACAGGAGAGCTGTGCCAGTGAGTGGTTCCCCCCAACCCTGCCCTCGCCCCGGTGCCTGCCTGGTGCCACGGTGCCCAGCGGTCACCCCGCTCCCCTCCTCCCCAGCCCTGAGGAGGGGTGACAGGCACCACCACTGCTGTGACACGGTGGAGTCAGAGGAGCAAGGCGACGGGACCCCCAGCCCTGACTTGCCCCGGCGCTGCCCAGAGCTGGGGCGCTCCAGCAGCCCTGCTTGTGCCTGCCTGCGGGAGCGCTGGCTCAGGTAGCGGGCAGGTGTGGTCATGGCGGGGTTGGGGGACTCAGCCCCCCACATCCACCGGTCCCACAGCCCTCCTGCCCTGCAGGCTGCTGCAGTCGGCGGGGCCGGCGCTGCGCAGCAGGCTGGCTGGGCTGAAGGTGCTGCTCCTGAACGTCAGCAGGGCTGTCACCCGCGATGTCCTCATCACCTTTTCCCCCACGGAGGTGAGATGCACCCCTCTCCCTCACTCAGAAGGTCCCATGCCTTCCAAGCATCCCTCCGCCCCTGCCCCGGGGCTTGGCATGCCATGGCGTGCTCTTCCTCCGCCCTGCTCCATGGCTGCATCGTGGACCCACGTCAGCTTTAGCATCCCTTGGCAAGGAGTCATGTGAAATGGTGCTTGGGAGGGAAGAGCCCTTCCTAAGGAGCCGTCCCAGCAGCAGGAGGGTAGTCAGGTGGAGGGGGAGGAAGAGGAGGAATGTGTGGGATCTTGCGTCTCCTGCTCACCCGCAGGTTCTCCCACTCTCTGGATGTCCCAGGGGACCATGTCCCATGGGGTGATGGTGGCTTGGGGCTCTCCTGGGAGCTGCTCCCAGCTCTGCTCCTTTGCTGCTGGGTGCTGGGGATAAGGTTCTCCCGTTCTGCCCTTGGGGCTCCTGCTGATGTTGCTGAGCAAAACCCATCCAGGCAGGGCTGAATTTGTGCCTGGAGCAAGGTTGGTGGGTCCCAAGCAGAGACGTGACGCTGCCAGCAAGCAGCCCCCCACCACTGTTCGCTGCCGCAGGGCCCTAGGATGCTGAACATAACGGAGAAGGGGAAGGCAGGCAAAATCCAGCTCCCCAGGGAGATATTCCGGTCCCTGAGCAGCCAGACAGTGCGTGTGGTGGTGACGGTCCTCAACATCCAGCGGCTTGGCATGTTCGAGGTACGAGCTGGCATTGCTGGCATCCCTCTGGCTGCTGGCACTCGCTACCTGCCGGCTCGGCTCAGGCAGCGTTGACCCCACGCAGGAGGTCAACCAGACAGGGCAGGTCCTGGACGACACCGTGGTGGGCATCATGGTGGGAGAGACGAGCATCTCTGGGCTGCAGGACCCCATGCAGCTCACCTTCGCCCACGGGCAGCTGCCCCATGTAAGTCAGCTGTGCCCTGCCTTCACCTCTCCTCTGGTGTCCCTCACTGTGGCGTCGGCTGACGCTGCTCTCCCCCCTTGCAGGGCATCACCCCGCAATGCGTCTTCTGGGATCCCAGCAAAGGTATGGTCCTTGGCAGGGCCAGGCGCGGGGCCAGGCGCGGGTGCTGCGCCCGGCGCTCACGGCCGGTGCCCCGTGGCTTTTGGCCTGGCGGCAGGAGTGCCCAACGGCCGTTGCCCTGTGCCTGTTGCAGGGCAGGCAGGAGGCTGGAACAGCAGTGGATGTGTCATGCAGCTCGGGGACAAGGGGACAATCTGCTCCTGTGACCATCTCACCTTCTTCACTCTCCTCCTGGTGACAATCTCACTCCCTGCAGCTCCTGCTCATACCCCAGCTGCGCTGCCTGCCCTGCCTCAGTGGCCCCTCGGGTGGCACGAGTAGCTGCCCAGGGACAGTTATAGCTGCTCCCAGGCAAGCCCAGGTCCCAAAATCAAGCCCAGCCCTAGCTCAGGAGGGCAGCAGTAGCTCAGCAGAGTGGGTGCAGGGTGGAAATGGCCTCCAGCCTAGTGCAGGCTCTGGAGCAGCGAGGCTTGGGGTCTTGTCTCCTGGTGGAGGCTCCCAGGAGGGTGCTCATGGTGGTCCATCATAGCCTTCACTCATCCCTCACCCCACCCCAGGGAGCATCTCCTCTGAGACACCACTGCCCTGCTCCTCCTGAAGACCTTCTGGGGGAACAGACCAGGGGCTTGCGTGGGGTCCCTGCAGCAGCCCACTGGGGTTATCATCAGCGCTGTGGCTCTGGTAGCTGCAGTTGGGTTTTTCTAGGTTGGTCCAGGGCCTGTCTAACCCAACATGCGCATGTTTGGCAGAACCCAGCTCTGGACAGGTCCACGGCACAAGCCTTGATGACTGTTGCCACCGCTGGCTGTGGGGTAGCCATGGCTTTCTCCATCTTCACCATCGCCTTCTGCATCTTCTTAAGGTAGGATGTGCCAGCAGCTCCCTGGGGACTCGTCAGGCTGGGAGAGATGTGGGGCAATTCCCGTGTCTCTGCATGAACCTGCTGCAATATGGCATGGGGCCTCACTCAGCTGTGACCCCCCGCCTTTTCTGCTCCCTCTGGGGATGCTCAGGTGCAGGTTCAGGTCCGAGGAGACCCTCTGCATCAACCTGGGGCTGCACGTGAACCTCATGGGCAGCCTGCTCCTCCTCAACCTGGCCTTCCTGCTCAACAGCGGGCTCTCCAGTGGGACCCAGCCAGGGACTTGCAAGGTCCTGGCGGGGCTCACCCACTACTGCCTGCTCTGCTGCTTCACCTGGATGGCATTGGAGGGCTGTCACCTCTACCGCCTCTTCGTCAAGGTCCTCGGCACCTACATCCACCACTATCTGCTGAAGCTGTGCCTGGTCGGCTGGGGTGAGCACCACCAGCCTGGGTGAGAGCTGGGGGGAGAGGGGGGCAGTGGAACAGTTACAACCAGGGGTGATGCAGTGGTGGGCAGAGAGCGAGCAAGCCCCCGTCCTGCCCGCAGCTCTTCCAAATGCCATGGTCAGGGCCGGGAAGTGTCTTATATGGGCTCAGGGCACCAAATTCAGGGCAGCACCCACAGGCACCCTCCATCCTGCTGGGGACCAGCCTCCTGCTCATCAAGCGGGTGGTGTCCTTGGGGGTCTTTGTTCCCCCGTTGCCAGCCCTCCATGGCACCTTGGAGGGCACCAGAGCAGATGATCCCGCAGAGAGGCTGGGGGACACCTTGAGCCCCGCCGCCCAGCTCTGTCCTTCCCTCTCCACATCATGTCCCAGCAGCAACCGTTGTGCCCCCGGCACTTGTGCAACCTCAGTGGGTTCCTAAGCCCCATCTTCCCTGAGGTCAGCACATCCAGGGAATGCAGAGACCCCAAGCTGACCACCTCGCCCGCCGCTTTGCCTTTCTGGCCTCCTCCACATGTCTCCCTTGTTCTTCCAGGCTTCCCTACTCTTGTGGTGGGGGTGGCAGGAGTCATCGGCAGTTACGGAGAATACAGCATCCAGACCGTGGACCACCAGGTCATAGCCCACCTGTGCGTGTGCCATCGCCCACAGGGCTTAGGTGGCCCTTTGGCACGGAGAGCGGTAACCCGGCCCTGCCGGGAGCGCAGCGGTCGGGGGTTGCGCCCATCCTGCTCGGCTTTACGCCATGCTTCCGCTTCCTTAATTGTGATTACAACACGGCAGCTACAGCCATGGTCACCACCACCACCATCTCTTGTGCCGAGCCTCCTCAGTCATGCCTGCAGGCCACCAGGTCATGGAGGGACATCCAAGGTCCACCTGGACCTTCTCCAGGCTCCCTTCCAGCTGAGCAACACGAGGGCAGCGGATCTGCACCACTGTCCCCCCTGCTTCACCCTGGCCTTGGAAAACCCCACCAGCACAAGGGTGTCCCTGCATCCCCAAACATGTCCCCCTGGGGAGGCTCCCATGGGTGCTGCCGGGGCTAGCAGAGCCACTGGAGGCACTGTGGTTGTCTCTTTTCAGGTGCTGGATCACTTCCAAATATCTCCTGGTCCACTACATCACCAACTGTGGTTACTTCGGCCTCATCATCCTCTTCAACATGGCTGTCTTTGGGGTGGTGACCCAGAAGAGCTGCTGCCTGCAGGGCACGGGGGCAGTGCAGGGAGACCGCAAGGCTTGGAAGGTGGCCCTGGTGGTAGTGGGGCTCTTCTGCCTGCTGGGAGCCACCTGGGTCCTGGCGTTCCTCACCCATGACACCTCCTCTGTGCCCATGCTCTACCTCTTCACCATCCTCAACTCTCTCCAAGGTCAGGGCCGGCTCCAAGCTGGGCTCCCTGGGCTCGGGTGGGGAAGATGGAGGAGGCAGGAGCCAGCCTGGCAGTGGGTTGACCAGGGGTCCCAAGGCACCAGCATCTTCCCAGCACTGTCATGCCCTTCCCTTTGGCAGCAGGTCCCAGCCACCGGCGTGGAGCTGGTCATGGCTCTCAACCATGTCCACTCCAGCGGGGGTGGTTTTCCTCCAAGGAAGCCATTCCTTAGCAGAGGAACAGGGACATTATCCACCAGGGCATGTCCCAGCCAAATAGCTCACCTGAAGCATGGGGAGACCCTCCTGCAGGAGCAGGGGCGAGCTGGGGGAATGCCCTGGAAGCAGCAGGGAAGTGCCGGCAGCATCCTGGCAGGATGTTTCCCACCATCTCCTGCTGCTGCTGCTGAGTGTCTGCCTTCCTTTCCCTGCAGGAATCTTCATATTCATCTGGCTGGTCATCCTCTACTACCCGAAGACGAGGGAGACTGCTGGCTCCCTCTCCCACATCATCAGACACGACAAAACCGTCACGGTTTCCCAGGACTAGCTGCTGGCTAGACCTCCCTCCCTGCCTGTGCGTGCACCCGCTGAGAGCAAGCTTCGATCCTGACGGATGCAGCTTCCCCACGGACGATGAGGGCTCAGTTTACCATGCCTCAGTTTACCCTTCAGTGGGCATGATCCACCTTAGCAGGGCTCTTTGCTTCGGCCCTTTCATTCCTAGTGGCCTGCCTTGGGCAAGGAGCTCCGGAGAGGTCCCGTCTGCCAAAGTCCCTCCAGGCTGCAGCTCCCCCACGGTCTTGAAGTGCCCCGTTCTCATTCCCCAGGGGCTCTTGCGGGGGCGAGGAGGGAGCCCACAAACCAGCCAGGATGGAGCCATCCCCCTCTTCACTAGAGATGGCCTTTGGTGCTGGACCAGCCTGACGGTGGGTTTTCCTGCTGTTGGAGGTGGGAGGACTGACTTGCTCCAGCCCAGACTCAGGAGGTTAAGGTCTGGAAATTAGCAAAAAAAGAGAAATCCCACAAGCTTCTTTGCAATATGTCCTCTCCAAACGGACCGGGGCCGAGCTCTTCGGGCAGGGATCTGCTGTATGTCTCTCCTGCAAAACACCCTCTGGGGCCAGCAATGATTTCCACGAGGACATCGTGCTTCAGCCGAATCTACGCATACAGCCCCCTCGCAGGGAAAACACACCTCTCCTTATCTGTGTTTTAGCATTAGCTCCCTGCTGGCTGTCTGAGCACTATGGATTTAGTCTTTGATGCTTACAATATTGTTTGTTATTTGCTTTATATCAAGAATGTATTGATGGGCAAAAATCTTGCTGGCAATTTGTCATCGCTCAGAAGGAAGAAATCTGTACGAATAGGTGTATATACACACGCATGCGCTTGCGTGCACAGAGCGGCCCTTTCTCTGCTACTGCTGCATCTGCGTCACACAGAACCACGCCAAGTCCAGCTTCGGTGGGCAAGTATCTAGTGCGGGTACCTCCTTCTCCCCACGCGCCTGGGTGACTCTTTGCTGGCAATTTGTCATCGCTCAGAAGGAAGAAATCTGTACGAATAGGTGTATATACACACGCATGCGCTTGCGTGCACAGAGCGGCCCTTTCTCTGCTACTGCTGCATCTGCGTCACACAGAACCACGCCAAGTCCAGCTTCGGTGGGCAAGTATCTAGTGCGGGTACCTCCTTCTCCCCACGCGCCTGCGTGACTGGGGAGGAGGGAAGCAGGAGGAAGGAACCTCCCATCCCTGGGTACATGTTTCGAGTCTAGAGAGCGTGGGCCAGGGGGGGATGAGAAGGTCCTAGGGATGCTACAGGGAACAGAAACACTCTGATCTGACTCATCTTTCAAGCACCGTTTGCATCCAACCATCGCCTCCTTCCCAAAAAAACCCTGTAAAGACACAGGCAAGAGCCTCTCTGCTACTGTCACATTTATTTGGAAACAGCCGTTTTCTACACCATTCGCCGCCTCGCGCTGACGGCTGCAGCAGCCACAGTGAGCACACCAAGCGCACACAGCAGGATGAGGGCCCTGGGGAGCCACGGGTTGGGTCCTGCCGAAGAGGAGAAAGGTTGGTTACACATCTGGGTCTCCCGAGTCTGCACTGAGCCCTGGCACGGCATCTCCTGGCTGGGGGCAGATTTGGGGGAGGTCACCTCCTGTGAAGGGTAAGAGCCGCCGGAGCTGGGGGTACGTCAGGGCCCTGAGGGCATTAACAGGACTCGGTCACCCCAACAGGCCTCACCCGGGGCCTCCACCTACACCCGCTGCCCGGGGGCTCCATTTAGCTCGGCATTCATGCCCGGCCTGAGCTATGCTGTAGGCGGGCTTGCCCCCAGCTCTGGTCCTGGTCTGCCACTTGGATCTCCTGGATTGACCTCGGTGCTCGGAAGGAGCCTGCCTTGCTCGGTTGATGTGGGGGTCCAGCGTGAAAACCCAGCCTTCCTCGCCTGGGGTGCTGCACCGACAGCCTTCTGGCTCCTGGTCCCTTCCCGCCCAGCTCCCCTGCTCAGCCCGACCTGTGCCTGCTACGGAGCCGCTCACGCAGAGCTAACCTCTCTGTGCTGGTTTGTCTTCTGGAGCACGCCGTGCGTGGCCATGACACCTGAAAGACTCCACGCTTCTGCGCAGGGCAGTGATTTTAGCAGCCCTTTTTAATAACCTGGCATTGCCTAGACAGTTGCAAGTGTCTGTGAGCTGCTCCTGCCCTCCCCAGAGGGACATACGTACCCCCCAGGTCCTGTTGGTCAATCCTGGAATTGTGGGTCTCTGCTCCCAAGGAAGGAGCAGCCAGTAGGTGGATGGGCCCATAGGAGACAATCTTATTGTAGTCATCCACCGGCGCCCGCTTGCTCCTCCATTGCCTGGGGCATTGCTGTCAACAAAGCCAAGGGAAGGGTGATGGGACCAGAGGGCAGGGGAGAAGCCTGCTCCAGGGGGCAAGAGCTGTCCTGGTGGTCTCCCCCTGGCAGAGGCACAGTTGGGGCTGCAGCCTGGGAGCAGTCAAGACACCAGAGCATGAGAGGAGCTGGTTCCTGAAGGACCTTAGCCTGCTCCTCCCCAAGTCCTAGCATAACCTCTCCTCCTGCAAATACCCAACAGACAGAGGGAAGAGGGAAAGGAGCTCTCTGGTGGGTTCAAGCCCTCGTACCTCTAGTTCAGGGTGCTGGGGTGAGCTCCTGCTGCTGGGAGGTGTTTATTGTGCTGAGGCACCCGAAACCAGAGCAGAGCCCCTTCTCCGAACTGCAGGCCAAGGGAAGGGAGGTCCCCCTGCCCGGCACACACCACCGGGAGAGCTCACCTTGGCACAGGGGTCTGGGCTGTCGGGGAGACAGAGCCGGACACGGCAGTGCAGAAACACCTCGGGGTAACCAACAAACTGAAACATCTGGAAGCTGAACTTGGCAGTAGTGCTCTCTCCAATGGCATTCAGGTATGTCACTGTCTCATCGTGGGGACACCTGGGACACGATGGCTCAGTCAGCAGGTAGCAAACGAGGGGGAGCATCCCAGCCTGGGACACCAGAGCACACAGGGACCGGGTGCAGCCCCCAAGCTTTGCTGAACAGGACTATTTCTGTCTCGGTGCCGGTGGGGATGCCTTTCCTTGGCACCCTGCGTTGTGCCCAGCTCAGGGAGGAGCTGCCACCAGCACAGGAGCTGGCTCGTGTCTTGCTCTGTGGGGCCACAGCTGCTCTGCAGGGGTGGAGTGAGCCTGGCTGTAGCTCCCACTTCCCAGATATCCACGTTACTGGCTTTAGCTTGGCTGCAGCCACCTCTAATGCAAGCTCTTCAGCAGATACCTCTATGCACATCCCAGCAAGGTCTCCCCTCTCCCCTCCTTGCCCTTTGCCTCCCCAGCTGGCCAGGAGTGATGCTAGAGGGAAGGCAGCACTGTTGGCAGCAGAGCAGGGTCTCAGTTCAGAGCAGGTAGGGAGCTCATCTGTGGGGCTGTTCCACCTATTCAATGATGGTGTCCAACCATAGGTTCCACCTATGAGCAGTGATGGTGTCATTGCTCATTGCTCCCTCACAGCAACCTGTCCTTAGCACCCAGCAAAGAGACGCGACTGTGCTCATGATGCAAGGAGGCCAGATGCGCTAGGGGCACTCCACTCACCCCTTCTCAATGAGCTCGTGCCGCACGTCCTGGTAGGGATCCGCGCTTGGCGTGGCCCAGCAGTCCTCAACGCTCAGCCGAAAGTATTTGAGCTGGTGCTGTCCTTCTATCTTCAGCAGGACATAGAGCGTGTCCGTGATGGGGATGGCCGTGGTCGGCAGGTGATAGGGTTGGAGGTAGGAGGGAGTCTTATACAGTCTCATGCTGACGTTGAAGTGTCCTTCTCTGACCACGAACTGCACCAGCCTGCACCAGCCTGAGAGGAGAGGAGAGGAGAGGAGAGGAGAGGAGAGGAGAGGAGAGGAGAGGAGAGGAGAGGAGAGGAGAGGAGAGGAGAGGAGAGGAGAGGAGAGGAGAGGAGAGGAGAGGAGAGGAGAGGAGAGGAGAGGAGAGGAGAGGAGAGGAGAGGAGAGGAGAGGAGAGGAGAGGAGAGGAGAGGAGAGGAGAGGAGAGGAGAGGAGAGGAGAGGAGAGGAGAGGAGAGGAGAGGAGAGGAGAGGAGAGGAGAGGAGAGGAGAGGAGAGGAGAGGAGAGGAGAGGAGAGGAGAGGAGAGGAGAGGAGAGGAGAGGAGAGGAGGAGAGCTCATGAGCAGAACGAGAAGGCAGGAAGGACGTAGCACAAGTCAGGCCACCGGTGCAGGTGCACTGACTCTGGACGTGCCTCTGCTCCCGGGTGAAGCCTCGTGAGAGCCAGGCCCCAAGCTGCCTCCTGGCTGGTATGTCCGCACCATGTGTGGACAGAGGCAAGGAGTTCCAGGGGCTCCCACTGACCTGCTGGACAGTGAGGGCTACGAGAAAGGCAACCCAGGGGGTCCTAACCTGCACCTCCACAGGGGCCTGGTGAGGCCTGTCTTCCAGTTCCCACCCTTTATTTTTTGGCTAGCTGGCTTCAAGCAGTGAGGATAGGAGAAAGGTAGATTGTGCGTGCCCCAATTTGGCTCTGTCCCAGGCCCAAACCTTGTGTTGAAAAAGTATGTAGGTAAGAGAAAGGGAGGCACCCTGATGTAGTATTGCTCTCAGAGCACTCTAGTGGTTCCGCATGGCCTTTGCAGATCACCTCATCGAAGGCATCTATTTTTCCGCAAGCTCACAGATACCACATCAGCAGCAAGGTGAAGAGGGACCACTCACTTGTCAACAGCAGTGAGAGCGAAGGGCAGTTTCACGACCCGCTCACAGGCGTAGACGCAGGAGAAATGCACCTCCAGCTGAAAACTCCGGGAGATCACGCCCCCGCGCGCTTCCCGCTCTGACTCAATGATGTTGAAGTACGACACATGGGAGCTGTTTTGCTGGAACGACACAGAAATCAAATCTCCAGACCATGTCTAAGTCCATACACAGAGCTCCAAACTCCAGTTCAGATGGTACAACTCAGCTATAGCTGCTCCAGGCCCCCTGGATATCTGCTGGGG